AGTTATTTATCATGCATTAGTTGGAAAATCTGCATTACCATGGAATGTTATAATTCCTAATATCTCATTGAAGTGGCTAGTATTAAATATTAATTATGATTAGTTTGGAGGAGTTATAGGTTCTTTGGCTTTGGGAAAAGTTTCAACATATTTAGAAAAATGTGATTAAGTATAATAATTATAAGGATGTGCAGAAGTATTTTAAGAAATCACTAATTTTTTAATTAACTTTAATGAAACGGTATCAGCAGCTATTAATGATGTATTGTTGACAGTTAATGAGGAATAAGAGTAAGAAAAAAAATAAAGTAAATATGATTGATTATTATGTAGATTTGGCAAATCTGATTGATACATTCCTTTAATCACCGGAATCAATTAAAGATAGTTAAGCTGAAATCATTACTTGTGAAGACATAATTAAACATGAATAAGATGAGTGGCAAGTAATTTAATGATTATTAATTCTATAAAATACATTTCTAAATTTAATACTATTAATCAAATTTATATATTATTATTAACAATCTAAATATTAAACAGAAATTTTATATTTTCTTATTTATGTATTAAAATTAAAAAGTATAATAATTCCATTCATATTTTTTATTCTTATACTATTAAAAGATATTATTAATTCAATTCTAAAAATTATTAATCCTTCCAAATTATATCATGTTACATATCACATATTTTGAAAATGGCAATAAAATGAGTTTATCTATTGAAATAACAATATTTAAATTCAATTTTCAATTGTTTTAATATTAACATAATTAATATAGTTTATATCTTTGATTTTAATAGATCCATGTTAGTTAGATAATTATTGTTTCCTTAAATTATTCAAACTCAAAATTCTACATAATTAAATCTCATTAATTTGAATCAAAAAATTACAATAAATGAATTACTTATCTAAAATAATTTAGAGATTCTAAAAATTAAGTGTATTTTAGGATAATGTATTTAAATAAACAATTATCATATATAATTTATTTATAAATATTATTATATAAATAAGAAATAAACAATTATCATTGAATTCATTTGGATTATAAATATAAAAAATTGGTACATAATGATTTTCATTGATTTTTATAGAAACTATGGATGATGATGAATCTACCTCATTTCATGAATTATCAACAAATGATAGAGTATGCAATTTAAAATAAATATAAACTTGGTTTCAGAATCAAAAATTAGCCATAACAAATACTGAGTTATTTACAACTTAAATATTTGATGACCTTAAAAAATAATGTGAATAATAAAATGAAATCTTATAAGTTTCTCCTGAATTCCAAGAAACAAAAGAGTTAATCAATTCTTTTTATAATAAAGCATAAAGAATTTGTTTGAAAATTAAGAAAAAAACAGAGCCTCGTTCTTAATTGTAAGAAAGAATCAAATATTAGAAAGTAAAAGAAGATGAGGAAGTAGAAAAGAATAGAGAAATACTTATAGAAGTAAAGAAAAAACTACTATGTATTATAAGAATATCTAAAGGGATTCCATTTGTTATTAATTTTATAAAAAGTTAAAATGTGAGAGATAAATAATACAAACTTACTTTAATGGTAGAAGATGCTTTATTAGATGGTATTAATTGGTATTTAATGTTGTATAATATTAAAGAAAATTAATGGAATAAAGAATTACCATAAGAATGTAAACTTAAAGAAATTCTTCATTAATTGTTGGATATTATCTGGTTATAGAGACAGGATTTAAAAAATGAATTAAATGAAATCTTTTTTAGATTGAAAAAGACTTAACTTATCAAATTACTTGATAAGTAAGCTGAAAAATTTGAAAAGAATGATAAATTTACATAATAATCAACAAAAATTTTACAAAAATTATAAGAATTTTGTAATGGACTTGAAACAATTAAATTATCACCAAATAAGGCAAATGGTTTATATTATTTATAAAGGATTTTATTATCATATTGTTGGGTAAAATAGATTGAATTATCAGAAATGTTATTTCATACTAAAATTACAGGTAGATTAGATAAATTAAAATAAGATAAGGATCATAGTAATGTTATAAGATTAAGATAAAGAATTACATTTTTAAGATTTGTTTATAGAATACCAGCTGTTAGATCATGGTGTGAATAAAATTAAATTATTCCTTTTGAAATGTAATCTAATATTCCTCAATATCTATAAGAAGAATACGATTAATTCATGAGTGATAAAAAGGAAAGATTATTTTCAGATACAAAGGAAGATTATTTTATTGAATCTTAATTGAAATTCCTTGCAAACAATTTTCAACATTATAAGAATAAAATTAGAATTATATTCAACGATCTTAGATTCATTCAAAATAAATTAGAAATTTATGAACTTTATTAAGAATATGTGAATAAATATGATGGTGATATAGATAAAGTTTCAAATCTTTAATTTTAAAAATAATAGAAAGATATTATTATAGCATGCTGCATTAGACATTTAGAAATTAAATTATCAAATGAAGACTTCACTAAATCTGTTTTGCCTTTAGTGAAATTTGATTTTATATTAAAAAAGGAAAAACACTTTTAATTTTAGTAGACTTCTTATGATAAATCTTAATACTCCTTTTTAGCAAAACCTTCACTTGTTAAAATTTTTCTTATTGATATTTTAGCATAAGAATAACCATTTCCATATATTTTTGAATTTATATATTATGAAGATGGAAAATTGTAGTAGTCTATTAAAAGTACTACTCTTTAAGGATAATTCTTTTATTGTCCATAAATACGAGAACATTTATCAAAGAAATATTAATTTAATATCAAATTAATAGAAAATTAAAATAAAGTTACTTTTACTTATTTACCTACTATTCATTATGATTATGTTAAACCAGCTGCAACTATATCATGGGAAGATATTTTATTACAAGATTTGAAACTTATTTCTTTACATAGAAATTAATTAATAGACGAAATTCATTTTATGGTTCGTAGTAACAAGTTTCAGACAATCAAGCAATAAATATAACAAGACACAAAGTACTTTAATGATCATTTAAAAATTATGAATGATTTAGAAGTATTTAATAATCAGCTATCAAATGCTAAAAAATTGAGGTGTATTTGATTATTTTATTGATATTATTTTTTATCATTTATATTTTTAATTAATTTTTTTATTTAAAATGTGATTTTTTAGTTTATTAATTAAGAAAAAGATAAATTTATACTTATTTTCAATTATCATCTTATAAAATCAAATAATTTTAATCTTCAGTTTATTGAATCCTTTTATGTATCTTTAAAAATAATTTTCGTATCTCTTCTCTTATTATGTCGGAAATATTAAGATAAATTTCATTATTTTTTTGATGATAAGTCATTGAAGATTTTAATTTTTAAAATTATTTATTATTTTAAAATATGTATATATTAATTAATACATTATGACTGTTTAAATCAATGCGTTATTTTTTTATTTTATTGAGTTTAAATTAAATATGCTTAATAATAATTATAATGGAAAAATTTATTCAATGTATGATAATTAAATTAATTTAGAATTAAGGATAGTGGACATATTTGGATACTAAATTACTTTAAGAATGAATTAATAATCGACATATAGGTCAGGTTTAGGTGGTTTAATGTCAATTCTTGTTATTGGAGTTTTGATATGGCAATTTTCATATAGTTTTAGTTCATTTCTCAATAAAGAATAATTGAACGCAGTCTCCATAACTGAGTATGATCCAAAAATATCAAATGCTACAATAACAAATAAATAATTACTATTTGCTATGGCAATATAGTAAGAAAACTTTATTAAGAATCCTTTTTTCAACATGTCTCTCATATAGAAGTATAAGAAATGTTCTAAATTGTTAGATATAACTTTCGATATCAGAATGGTTCTTAAGATTCAATATCAAAGGAAATTGAATTAGTTTAATGTACAGAATACCGATTCGAGAAATACTTTAAAGAAGAAGGAAGTGATTTTTCTTAATTGCACTTTAATTCATCATCTTTATCGGATTATCTATGCCCAGTGTAAAAGAAATGAATATATTAGGGAAGAAGCTAATTTCTAGTTAGGTGGCACACACATAAGTAAAATATAGTTTAAAATTTAGGTGAGGAGTTTTTGTATTTATAAATAGTTATAAGTAAATGTAATTAGTAAGAAGCAATAAAAAATGGATATGAATGTGCAAACTAAGAACAATTAGATGAATATTTTGGAAAGCATGGAAGTTTTAAATTCTAAATTTATAACATTAACTCTATAATAAATCCTTATAAATCAGATGATAATTATAAGCAATTATATTTGGATGATTCTATATAGTATACATTCATTCCAAATTAAATTGGTAAAACAATTGATGTCTATTTAAAACATTATCATATAGTTTAAGATAACAGTTTGATGCCGTTGAGGTTATATTTAAAAGTTAATATTTATAGTGAAAATGTTATAAGTGATATATTTGCAATTGAATAGTTAGAAACTAAGGTGATTTCTGAAATAGGAAATTCAAATTAATATGTTTAGATTAATTTTAAGAGAAGTCCATTCAAAACAACGATAAAAAGAAATTATATGAAGTTTGATGAAATGTTATCGAATTTAGGAGGAATGCAATAAATTTTATTTTTTTTTGTTGGAATAATTGTGACATTATACAATAAATTATAAAGTAATAATGTTTAACTATTTTAAGTGATGATTGAATTAGCAAATAGAGTATATGAATTTTCATTAGATAATACTGAGAAATTGAGATAATAATAAGAGAAACTAGAATTGATAAATGTGGCATTATAATAATAGTAACGTTTATAAAAAGAACCTGGTTCATCAGTAAATAATTCTGATGAGGAGGATAAACCTTAAACAATTAATTAAACTTTGATACATTAGTAAGAAAATAATTAAGAAATAAAGAAATTAAATGGAGTGAAAAAACTTAAGGCAGTTGTATAATATTTAACAGTTTTTAAATAAAATAATATATAAACTCAATAAAAAAAGGAGAGTTCAAGAATTATTAAAGATTAATAGATTTTAGCAATATAATTAAATTGTAAATCCGGTTTAGAATATTTTGAGAAATAGATAAAATCAATAATAAGCAGAGCAAAACCAATATATTTATCATTAAAAATTTTAATGAATTTAATTACTTGTAATAGATTATTTTCTAAATAACCAAAAATAATATTAATAAATAAAGGAATGTAATAAGTAGCTGAATAAATAGATATTTATAATATAGTTTAAAATATGAATGAAATGATTAAATTAAAGGAAGTTGTATTATCATATCATTAATAATTAATGTTTGGATTTACTCCTAAACCTTAAATAACTTTAGATGACACAGCTACTTAACCTACAAGAGATTTATTATAATTATAATTGAATAATGAGAAAGAAAATGGTGATTAGGATAATTATTTATTGTATGCTAAAATATATAATGTAATTTAATTTTAAATTTATATATTTTTAGTCATATGATGATGTTCTAAGATAGAGTGAGAATGATATATAAAATAAAACAAATAATGTTAGCAAATAATTAATCGAAAAATTAGGACCTGAATTGCAATTAATATTTAAATTGTCTAAATTAATTGATTTTTAATCCAAGAATAGTACATAAGTATAAATAAAGACACCTCATCGTAGAGGAGCAATGTAGTAAAAAGAGTAAAATGTATATGCTAAAATGTTTAATCCAAATACATGATTAAATACTTTTTATTTATTTATTATTTTTTTCTATATTTATTCATGATTCTATAAAATATTATTAATCCATTATCCTTTTGTTTACTATCGATGCTCTAAAATAAATCAATATCATCTATTTTTCAATTTTTAAATAAACCTGTAAGATTTTCTGCATTTGTTAATATTAATTATCCATATCCTTCTTATTAACTAAAATTATTATCATCATCATATCTATCCAATTTATGATCTAATTCATTCAAATTCTTATAATTAAAAGAGTCTCAAAAACTTATAGGATATTAATTTTTTTAAATTCCATAAGGTTGAAACATTTTTTTTATCATTTTTATTATATTTATTAATTCTTACTTAGATGGCATTTATATCATCATTTATTTAATTTATCCATTCCTTATTATTTACTACCTGTAAAAAAGCATTCATATGTAAGTCCATTTGGACTCTCTTTTTTTGAAGCTTTTTCCGTTTCAATTTTCTTAAATAGATTTTTCTTTTAAATTTAATAGGAATAATATTTTATTTTTTTAAATAAATGACTTTTAATATTTTACTAAATTAAACGAAAGGCTGTTGATTCTTTTGAAATTTTTTATATTATTTAATGAATTGATAAAAGTGATCCGATTATAACAAAGATTAATTCGATAATTAAGATTATACTTCTGAATGAATTAACGAATGTTATTTTACTCGAAAAATGAACCTTAATTTTTGATAATATATTAATATATTCCTTTTTTAGTGAAGCTGTATTGATATTAATCATAAGTCCAGATTTAAGCTAAACTTTTTTCTTTTAATAAAGATGTTTCTGATTGAACCCATAAAACTTAATTTAATAAAATTATTAAATAATAAAAGTAAGAACTTTATGTACTAATTTAAAATACTATTATTTAGATTACTTATATTGTAATATATTCACATAATCATAGAAAGGATGATCATAATCTTCATGTACAACCATGAAATCATTATTTAATTGAACAATAATGTTAACTGTTGTATTGAGAGTACAAATTTGTATGTTAGACTTACAATTATTGTATTAACATATTCCTATTAATTAAAATTTTTCAAGACAGTTATAATTATTGCTTTATAATCAATTCATTAAAAATATTTAGTAAATCCATTCTGGGTACTTGGGGTTTCAATCTTAAAATCATTTGAATCAAAATTTGATAATCACATGCACTGTATATTCCAAATTCTATAATTATTTATTAGATTTCATTCAATAATTCTTCATAGGTATTGTTAAAATCTTTAACTATCATTTCTATTTCATACCATGGTCTAAAAAAATGAAATTGAAATAAACTTACATTTAATCATTCTTTTTATTCATTTTTACATTATTAGCTTTAATTTTATATAAGGCTCCTAATTAAATTGTGCTAAATGGAAAAATCTTTTGAGGAGATCTCATATTTTTTTATCTTCTTAAAAGTGGTTCTTAAAAAATTAATTATGTTTCATCTCTAATATTTTAAGGACTCAATGATGTAAAACTTTCTGATGCTGTTTTACGTCTAAATAAATAAGTTGGATAAAGTAAGTAATCTTATTTTCTATTAACTCTTTTGAAATTTATAGGTTAGATACTTTGTTTTGGTGAATTTGGAAGTTTACGTGGTGAAATTAAAATCTAAGGAATTTGTTATGATATTTCCTTTAACTATTATAAATGATTCCATATTTATTAAGATATCATATTTCTACCACCCAAATTACGCGCATCTGGTGTAAATGGAGGCATTCACTTTAAAAATGTTGTTAAAATATATTATTAATTTATAATGAAATTTCATCATCTAATTTGTTTTATCATTATTCACTTAAAATTAAAATACTATATCTATAATTGGTTTGATTATTGGCATCAAATATTTATATCTTATTTAGTAAATTTGATAATAAGTAATTATTAAAAATAATCATACAAATAGTTTATCAGTTTAAATATTTTCTAAGAATTACTTAAATTCTAACATGTTTTTATTTGCTCCTTCTAATGTTTCTTTAATCTAATCCCATTTTTAAGACTTCTGACTATTATGAAATTTATTAGATTTGTATTGGATTGGTTCAGTTTTTAATTTTGGAGTGAAATTTCTATTGATAAGCATGCCTAAAGGTTTTCTAGGGGACATAGGTTATTACATAGATATTTATTTGATTTTCTACCATATATGTTAAGGCTTTTGGAATAAGATTGATCATATTACGACTTCAAATTTATCAAAACGAGGTAATGGACCATCTGGAGGAACACCTCTAAATGGCTTATCTAATTGTTACTCTAGAGTCATTTCTAAAAGAACACGTGCATATAACAAAGAATTCTATTTCCAAATAAAATTATGTGTTGGAGTTCTCACTTTATCCAACCATTACAAAATTCTTATCTTTAAATGTTTTGCATTGATTTTCTAGCAACCATTATATATTTTATTTATTGCTTCACTCAATTCTTGATCAAGGGTCTCTATACTTGGAGAATTCATTAATCTAACGGATTATATATATATTTTAATAATAATTTTATAATCTATTATTCAAAAGGTACTTTTTCACAATAGATATACAATTACTCAAAATATTTTATACTTTTATCTTCAAAGGGAACTTTTAAATAATTTTTATTTATTCTTACAAAAATATATTAAATTAAGTTAAGTTTTATCTCAATTAATTTTATCTTAAAAATAATTCAGTATTTTTAGAGTAACAATTTATATACTACTACTTAAAATCATTTAATAAAATTATTTTTTAAGAAATCATGATACCTACATGTTCTTTATCATTTCTATCTGTTTTATAATTAAATGAAGTCAAGATAAATTTGATTTTACTCAAGAGGAAATTTGTAATTTTATATTTCAATTTATTGATTAAGATTTTTTAAAGAAAGCTCTTTTTTTATTATTAAGTACTAGTAGTATTGATTATGATGAATTCTTAACCATAAAAATATAATAGAAGGAATTGTAATATAATTGTTAAATTAATAATGTTAGTTTTTTTAGAAACTGAATTATTTATTTTATGTTTAATCTTTAAAATGGTTTTGATTTAGAATAAGATATAGAATTAAGGGCTGTGTAGAATGAAGACTTTGAATAATAATATTTGGGATAATGTTTACGGGAGTCAAAAAGAGAATATTCGTCGTTATTTCCCTAAGTTGCTAGTAGAACATTGAGTGCGAGAAGCTTAGAAGCTAAATATTTACATAATCCTAATTCCTTTCATTCAAACTATGAAGAGAATATAATAGCTTCAAATATGTAAACACCTAAATTAGCAGTTTTATAAACTCGAGATTCAAGTAGAAAAAGTTAAGTAAATGCTTAAATAAGTTAAACAAATGCTTAACTAAGTTTTAAGTTTTTATTTTTCATTGGAAGATTCGTAGAAAAATTATCATTTAATCGTAAAAGATTAGGGAGTCTAAATGAGGCTCATTTTAATCTGATTGGTGATAAGGCTTCTGATGCGTATAAAAAATCATTTATTCTCTTTAGGCAAAATTTATTTACATATTCAAAACGTGTTAAATAAGCCGGATTTAATCTAAAGAGAATGAAAACTCTTTTAGATAGAGATAAAGTCATGCGAGATACCATAAGTCTTGAGTAAGTAAAAGAAGATTTGAAAAAATTGAGAAAACCTATTTTTAATTGCATCAATGCAATAATTAATAAAATTCCTATTGTTTAACCAGAATCACTCTTCAAAATGTATTGGGATTTCTTTACATCCTTTTTTAGAATCATTCTTTTAATCTTGGTTCCACTTGAAATAGCTTTTAAACCTGAAATTCTCTTTAGCAATCTTATTTCATTGACTTATGTTATCCTCATTATTCTATAATTAGATTTTCTAATAAGATTAAATACTCTTACATATAAAAATGGAATTGCAATTAAAGATAAATGGGAATTAGTTATACATCAGTTAAAAAAGGAGTTTCTTACTGATTTTTCGACTTCTTTGATTTTGATCATATTTATGATCATACCTGATATGAAAACTAAAGCTAATTTATTTTTATTATTAATTTTAGCTTAACATAAATATGTTTATGAGACATTTGCTAAAAGTGATTAGATTTCATATTTAACAAGACCATAAAGAGGTATTTTTGGATTGTTAAAATTTATCTTAAGTCTTCTCTATATTTTGCATTTATTTAGTTGCATATGGTTTTATTTCAGTAGTATAAGTCTTGAAGATTCATGGATTCGATTTAATGATTTAGAAAATAAGAATTGGGAAGATTAATATTTATAAGCACTTTACTTTGCTGTAGTGACTATGTTAACAATTGGTTATGGTGATATGGTACCAAAGAATGCAATAGAGAAAATTGTAACAATTGTATTTGTTTTAGGGGCATGTAATTTAAATTTCTATAATAAAGGTCTATGGGTTTCTTATAGTGTAAATTTCATTGGTGGTATTATTGATGATATCACTTAAAATTAAGTTGAAAGGAATCGCAGAATGAGAGTTATTAATAAATATATGAATTAAAGAAAGATACCCTTTAATTTATAACATTAGTATTTAATTATTATAAATTATATTAGAGTTAAAGAATATCTAACTTACAGATGGAAAGAAGATGATGAAGTTGACCTAGAAATGGAACAAACATTACTAGAATAATTATCAGATGAATTAAAAGAAGAACTCAATAATTAGGCTCATAAAGTATATATGGAGAAGTCAGACTTTTTAAAAAAAAATTTTAGTGAAGAATTACGTAATGCACTTTTTAAATATATTAAAAGAAAAATCATTCCTCCTTAAGTTACTTTTTCAACTGAATTTGATAATTAATAACATCTATGCTTTGTTGAATAAGGATTCATTGTTTATTAGCATCCTGAAAATAAATAAAAATTTAAAACTAATTCCTTCATTAATTAAGGTTAATTTTTTTGTGTAAACGATTTTATATCTAACAATCCTTAAATTGATCTTTTTAAATCTATAGGATATACTAGTCTATTAATATTATCGAAATCAGATTTCATTAAGACTTTAAAAGAATTTCCTAATGATTTTTAGAAATACTGTTAATTGAGAGAAAATTTTAATTTGAGTTATATGCCTCCTATTTTAGAAAATGGATCATTTTGTCCAGCTTGTTAAAATTTTAAACATCCCCTAAATAAATGTCCTTAAGTTTTATTTGTACCAGATAGAGAAGCAGTGATAAAAAGATATTGTTAGGCAGAATTTCAATAAGCAAATAAATCTTTTAAAAGATAAGAAAATTTTAAATTAGAATGGAGACGTACAAGATAAATGAAAGATTATCTATAATAATATGCATCTGCTTTTCAAAGTGATAAATTATAGATTATTGCAATATAATCTAAAGTTTAGTTGAATTTAGAGTGGGGATCAGATTCTAATTCATCAATAGATGATGCATAATCTCCTGGATTTAAGATTCCATAGAATTTACCTATTTTTGAGGCATAAAATATAAAATAAACAAGGAAAAATAGATTAATAGCTGATTAATAAGTTTAAAATAAGTCAGATACTAGATAGAATTTAAATTAAGCACTTTAGATTAGGAAATAATCAATTTTATCAGGAGGGATATCATTAGGTTTTACTAAATATATCTCTTCAAAACATAAAATTGAGATTCCATAAATTGATGAGATTAAAGAAGGGGATAGTTCAGAAGATGATGATGATGATGAAAGTGATGAATCAACAGATAAATAGAATGATGATATTATTGATTATAAAAAAGAGTTAGAGAAAAAGGCATAGGCAATTCAGGATTTTAATGATGATATGTAAGAAAATATAACAAATTTATATCATTAATTACAAACAAATTTAGAATAAAATTAAAATGATTTAATTGTTAGAAAAGCATTGTAATCTTTACAACCACTCTATTGGTCATTAAATTAATAAAAATTTGATGAGTTTGAATCATAATCTTAGTTTGATTATTATTTTAATTAATAAAATGCAAAAGATGTTATTATGTTTATAAATAGAGATATATTTCAATGGGAAAAAGTTTTTTTAGATAGGATGAGATAATTTATGTATTATCCATTTTAATATATATTAAAATTTATGAGATTGAAAAGAAATGATACTATAAAAAATGAAAAACCTCTGGTTGAAAATGTGTAAAGTAATCTGGGTGATTTAAAGAAGAATTTAAAATTTAAGAAAAAATCAACTCTAGTTAAATAGACTTTAAAATTTAATTCTGTAGTTCCAGATCATAGTAAATTCTAAGGAAAATAATTTAAATGATGAATTTGATTTAATTATGAATTTAATATTGAATTAAAAAAACAGATGATAATAATATATATAATTCAGGTTTCAAGTAGTATTTTTTTTAGATTTTTGTAGATTGAATTCTAAGAAAGAACTTAAAATTAAGTACGTAAGAATATTTTATAATAGTTTAGTGAGATTAAATAGTGAATTGAATGGAATGGAAAGAGAAGAATATAATAGGTTGAAATAGGATTAATAAATTAACTGAGATTGTTAAGGTCATATAAAAATATTTAATTTATAAAATAGATATTTTTATTGAAAATATTTTTTATTAAATTTATGGATCAAAACAATTGGATTAAAAAGTCTTCTGTTTAGGAATTTGGAATAGATTAGGGTGTTTAATAGTAGGAACATTAATAGGGATAACCTCCAGCTTCTTTAATTAGAAGAGTGTCTAAACGTAATGTTGCCATAAGACCAACTTAGGAAAGTGGAATAGCTTAAATATATGAAACATTTCATCCAGAACAAAAAACATAGAATCTTGAAGATATTAAATTCATCATAAAATGTTTTTAGAGTCATTTTGTATTTAGCTCAATGAGTGATACATAATTGTAATAATATATTATGTTAATTTTAGAACGCAATTAGCACATAGTATGTTCTATTGTAGATTGAAGATAGGAGAAACAATAATTAAATAAGGTGATGGAGCAAGCTCATTTTTTATTCTTGAAAAAGGAAAGATAAATGTTTTAGTAGATAATGTACCACGTAAAGAATTAACTTCTGGATTTGGGTTTGGTGAATTAGCCTTATTATATAATGCTCCTAGATCAGCAACATGTATGGCTGTGGAAGAGTGTTTTTTATGGGGAATTGACAGACATACATTTAGAAAGAGTATAGAGACAATAATGAGAAATGAATAAGAGAAAAATAGGAAATATTTAGAGAGTGTAAAATTTTTTAGTAATAATATGAAATGATGAAATAGATTAATTAACTAGAGAATAAAAAGATGCTGTGGCTGGTGTATTAATATCTTAGAAATTTAATTAAGGAGAGATTATAGTTAATGAGGGAGATTAGGCTAGTTCATTTTACATAATAATGGAGGGTTAATGTGGAGTTTTTAATAAAGATAATTAATAAATAGCAGTTTTAAATCCAAGTGATTCTTTTGGTGAATCAGCATTAAAACATGAGAATTAAGTAAGAATGATGACTATAAAATCAATATAAAAAGATACAAAAGTTTTAGCATTAGGGAAGGATATGATTTAATAGATTTTAGGTGATTAAGTATAATCTATTATCTATAAAAATATATGTAAATGGGCTTTAAATTCATCTAAATTATTTAGCAAGACATAATCAAGTTATTAGGATAAATTATTAGAGGGAGTATAAATAAAAAAGTTTAATGCAAATTCTAAGATAATTATAAAGGGAGATAAGGTTGGATAATTAATGATTCTATTAGATGTTGATGCAATTGATGAGAATAAAGTAAAATCTTAAAAAGGTTCAATTATGGCTGAAGATACATTGTAAGATAGATTATAAGGAACTACTCATACAAAAACATACATATTGGAAGGAGATGGACATGTAGCTATTATTGATTATGAGTCATTCAGAAAAGTTTAAGGAAGTGTTGAGAAAATTCAATAAGGAAAGGCATAATAATCTGAAAAGATTAATGCATATTAAGAGTAAATAAAAAGTCAACCATTTAAGAATTTAATATATTTAAATAAATTAGGGTCAGGTTAGTTTGGATCTGTTTATTTATGTAAATTTAAAGAATTAGAAACTTTGTTTGCATTGAAATATGTAACTCGAGCTCATGTATAATAATTTGGAATTTAAAAACATATATAGTAAGAGAAGGCAGTTTTAGAATTGATGGATCATCCTTTTATTCTAAAATTTTATAGATCTTATAAAGATAATGAGAATATATATTTTTTGACTGAATATATTCCAGGAATGGAATTATTTGATGCAATAAGAGTTATTGGTAAATGATTTAATTAATTATAAATATAGGATTATTAAGTAAATATGATGCCTAATTTTATGCATCTCAAATGTTATTATAAATGGAATATTTACATACATAACATAGTATTGTATATAGAGATATTAAACCGGAAAATATCATGGTAGATGATAAGGGATTCTTGAAATTAATAGATATGGGTACAGCAAAATCGTTTAAGAATTAATGTAAGAATATAGAATAATGTTAAATTTAGAATCTTCAAAGACTTTTACAATAATAGGAACACCTCATTATATGGCACCAGAAGTAATATCAGGAAAAGGTTATGGTTATTTTGCAGATTTATGGAGTGTTGGAGTTTGTGTTTATGAATTTATATGTGGAGGTTTACCATTTGGAGAGGAGGCTGAAGATCCTTTTGAAATATATAAAGAAATCATAAAAAAGCCTATAAGTTATCCTCATTTTATGTCTGATAAAACTGCTAAACCTTTTATTGAATAATTAATGAACAAGATTCCAGAAGTCAGACTTGGAGGATCATATACTACTTTAAAATCTCATGCTTGGTTTAAAGATTTTGATTGGGTAATATTATTTATTCTAAATAATAGGAAAAATTATTAAGTAAATCAATCAAAGCACCCTTATTGCCTGGAAAAGATAAGATTATGACTCCTGCATAGATTTAAAGTGTCTAATAACGTGGAATCACAGTTCATGATTAAATTCAGAAGGATACTTAAGGATAAAAGAAAGTATTAGCTAGTGCTAAGGATGCAGAATGGGATAGTACATTTTGATCAAGTATATAAGAACAATATATATTCTTATACCTTTTTCTTTTTGTCTTTTTATGTTTCTATCTTATATTTTATAATATTTTATAAAATTAGATTTTAATGCAAATCAGCCAAACATTGAGTAGGTGTATTACTTTTCATAAAGTTGTCTAATAATTATATGAACAAGGGGAAATTAATTTTAAAGAAAAGAATAAACTTAAAACTGAATTCAATACTAATAATGAAGACATATTATATTTGATAGAGGGTAATATAAATCTACATTATAAGACATTGACAAAAAAGACTTTAAATAATAATTGGTTGACTATGTTAAATCTAAACATCAACTATTTAAATTACCCAATTCTCCTGGATTGAGAAGAAAGTCTCACCTTTCTCATTTTTCTGAATCTAGTCCAACTATTGGCAGAAGAAGTGGTTTCTCTAAAGAAAGTAAACTTACTGAAGAAGAATTAATATCCTATATTAATAAACTTAGAGAAGCACTAGTAGAAGTTTATCAATCAAGATCAAGTGCCTTTACTTATTTAGTATAAGATCATCTTAAATCATTAACTCAATTCATCTCTAAAATATCTAATAAAAGTCCATAAGCATCTATCATCTTACTCTAAGAATAAAATATTGCTGAAGAAATAGAACTATACTATAAACAATTAAAAAATTAGTTTTTGAATACACATTCTTTGTTAATTAACGATAATATTATGGCTGTTACCTCAAAACTTGTTCAAAATCTATTGAATTGTGATGAATTCACATTCATTAATCCTTAATATGGAATTTATGAATCAAACAAAAATTCTTTTAATAATATTGAATCAAATGAATATTTATAAGATTTAATCTCTGTAACTACAAATGTTAATTTATTAACAGAAAATCAAACTAAACTCTTTCAAATGTTCTCCTAGTATTAAAGAACTTATACAATTAGAATTTAAGATGAGTGTTTCTTCTATCATCAATATTAAATTAAAGATACCTTACTTAATCTTACTTTAGAATATAAATGTCTCAATGAAATTTAAATTTTAAGTAAATTAATATCCAAAGCTACTATTGAAGCTAGAGTTTAAATATTTAGTCCAATCTAAATAGGCAATATGATACTTGATGTAGGAGTAGAATTTGTTAGATGCAGCAAATATTTATTCATCAATTAAATCATCAATTTATTGCGTACCAAATATACTATTGAAAAAAATGATAATGATTAATTAGGATCTTCCACTTCTTTATCAAGTACTAATCTATCACCAACTAGTAAATAGACTAAATGTACTAAAATACAATTTAAAGATATATTACCTTTAGAAATAATGGTTTTAGGATTAAATTTAAATAAAAAAGATGATTTATAAGTATATAAGACTATTACTAATCTTTATACTAAATATTTGAAGTTTATTGAGTTAAGTTACGATAGAATTATTTTTTATAAATATTTCATTAAATCTAAAGATTCAATAATGCTAGAATTTGATAAAGAGGGTAAATTGGCTTTTTTATCAAGACCAATTCCTCCCTCTTTAAGTAGAGAATTTTAATTGGCATATTCTCATAGAGGACATTATTATCAGATAATATAGAATGAGAGGTTATTAAGAGTAATTGAATAACATTTAGATAATAAATGGAATATTTAGTAGACTGATTAATTGTATGAGATATTTATGAAAGCCAGAAATAAAAAGTTTAAGGGTTTTGCTATAATTTTTTCAGAAGGATTTCTATAAACAAGAAGTTTAGAAATGGAAACGAAGAAAATAAAATTAAGATAGGAAGCCACTTAATATTTATCAAATTTGGAATAAAATAATCCAGAAATAAAAGATACTATATTGTCTTTTTATATTCCTTAATAGGTTCATGTTCCTGGAATTATACATAAAAAGAAAAAGAGTATGATTAATGGATTTATTGATACAATTTAAATAAATATAATAGATGTATAGAATGTGGAATAGGAACCAATTTATATTGATTAGATAGATAGTTTTGATTTTAATATATTTAAAATAGAAAATAATTCTATAGAAAAATAAAGAATGGTTTATTAGATATTAAAGAGGAATGATTTTTTTGAGGAATTCGAATTTGATAAAAACAGATTATGTGAATTTTTAGGTGAATTGGAATATCGATATGATAAACGTAGAAATCCATTTCATAATTATAATCATGGAGTAAATGTAATGCATAGTTGTCATGTTATAATGAATAAAATGATTTCTTAAGTACAATATAAGGATCTATTTGATTAATTGACAAAACTATCATTAATTTTAAGTGGATTGTGTCATGATGTAGGACATACAGGTAGAACAAATATTTTTGAAATAAATAATTTATCTTAGAAAGCTATAAGATATCATGATAAGAATGTATTGGAACAATATCATGCAGCAACAGCATTGAAATTATTATTGAAAGAGAGAATGAATTTTTTAAAGAATATAGATTTTAGATAATTTAGAGAGAAATTTATACAGAATATCATATTTACTGATAAGTAAGAACATTTTAATTTACTAAAATTTTTTGAAGCAAATAATGAAAAGGATACAAAAATAATAACTGGAATGATCATTCATACTTCAGATTTTATTGGAGCATCTGCAAAGTGGCCAATATCTAAATAATGGTCTTTAAGAGTTAATCAAGAATTTTAATCATAATTTGAAGAAGAAGGTAGATTAGGATTACCTTAATAACCATTTATGAAAGATTTACAAAAGGTAATTATGATTATTATAGGCTTCATAGATATCTGTTTTGTCTAAATCAGAAATAGGGTTTTATAAATTCTTTGTTCGTCCATTATATGTATCGTTATCTAAATTTATGGATCATTAATTATAAGATAGAATTGATAATATTGATGAAACTATAATAGAGTGGGATTAATTGGCATCTTAAGAGAATCAACAACAATGATATTACTCATTTATTTTTGTATTAAATATATAAATGAGTAACATTAAATTATCATAACTAATATTACTTCGCAAGTATTCTTAAGCTGATAACTATCAATACACCAAATCTTTGAATGACTTTATAGATAATGCAAGAACAAACTAAGTTATACATTTTCATTACATCTCTAACATTAATCATCAACAAGAATATTTAAGAAGAACTTATACTATTAGTATATAACTCAACCTATTTTAGATGAAATTCTTAATAAAATCACATCCTTGGTTGAATATTACAAATTTCACAATGAAATACCTAGATGTTTTCTTCCAAAAATTTCAGATATCATTAGCAAGTAGAATATTGATTTCATATTTAGTTACCATGATAAGAGAAGAAAAGTTGAGTATTTAAGGATCAAGCGATTTATTGAATATCAAAATAAAATAAATCCAAATCAACCTCAAAAAATTATTGTAGGAGAATAACCTGAAATTACTATAACTTAGAAGTCTGATAAAAAATATAGTAACATCTTAAATGATATTGACGAATCCTCAAAAACTATTGATAAAATTTAAACCAAACTTAACTCCATTAAATTAAATGTTGAAGATCTACAATTAATCCAATCAAATACAGAATAAGAAAAATTAGATAGTTTTCTTAAGCATATAGCTAGAAAGAAACAAAAATAAACATAACCTCCACATTCTCTTAACCTTAAATTTCCAATTGGATTATCATAAAGAACTATTAAATAAGTACTATCAAGAAAAATTATGGCACAATAATCAAATTAAGGAACTAATTTAAATTCTGCTAAAACTAGTAAATAACTTTCATTATATTAATAACCTTCTAATATTTAATCTACATCAAGAATAAATAATAAATAATATCCAACTTAAAAAGAATTTAGTCACTTTGGATCATTCACTTAAAGAGTAGTCAAAGAAAATCCACTCTCTAAATTGTTGTCTCCATTACAAATTTAGATAGTAAATGTTAATAGGTATATTGCATATAATTATATATTAGTACATCATCAAATAAATGTAAAACAACTGTATCTATTTCTAAATAATTTAAAATTACTGATTCCTTGAAGTTTTCCAATATTCATTAACATACTAGATCAGATTTTAAATTCTTTAAGAAAATATGAAAAATGATATATGTTTTTATTGTAATTATTTATAGAAAAGGACTTTTTAATTTTCATTTTAAAATCTATAGCTTTAAGTTACCTTCTAAATCTATTTAATATGATTATTATCAAATAAATTTGAATTTCTTATTAGCTATAATTTATTGTTTAATTTAAAAATTTTTAATTTAATTTTTGTTATGATTTAGACTTGACTGAACAAATTTATTTATTTAAAATCATTAAAAGCATAAATAATTGAATCTGATATATATTTAAATAGTTTAAAGTAATTGAAAATTTGGGATGAATATCAAGGTAAAATATAATAATAAATATTATACAAAATTATCAAATTTCTTAGAATAAAATATTAAAAGTAGATTTATTCCAAGCATTTTCTTTTGGATCAAAGTATTCCCCTGGACCAGGTTAATTTTCTTCTTTTTTATCATAATTAAATCTATTTTCCTAAGTTAGATAATGAAAATAGAAATTACTCTAAAGTTAAATGGAGGATGAGATTTTTTTTTTTTCTAAAATAAAGATGAACTATTATGCATTCTTATTTATTAATCTTCTTGTTCATCATCTTCTTCATCTATAGGTTTTTTTTCTTTATGTTTAAATCTGGGTAAAGATGATCCAAAGGCTGGTTTATAAATGGCTAAATCTGGGTCCTCTTCCTTTTCAATTTTGGTAGTTTATTCAATGGTGTAATTTTTGACATCATATGCACCTGGAGCTGGAAAATTATCTTTGGGAATTGAAGCAGCATCTACTCTTTTAGTTTTGGAAGTAAAGACAGATGCAACTCCTTTAACTTTTTTATTTTGTTCATCATAAGTTCCTGGACCAGGCATTTCATTATCTTATTATTTAAATCTTGATTAATTAGATCCAAAATTACCAACTGGAGCTCTTTCTAACTTTTTAGTTAATTTATCGTCCAACTAACTAAATTTTAATAAAATTTACAGTAATTTTAGGATTATAAGTTTATGGTCCTGGACGCTTTTCTAAACCTTTAGCTTCAAATCTTAGATTAGTTGATTAAAAAGGAGGTTATTTTTAGGAAATACTTTCTTTAATGATATCAGTTTCTAATTCATAATCTCCAGGACCTACATAACAGGGCATTTTTTTTTCTTGAAATCTTCTACTTTTAGATCCAAAACAATTTTTTCCAATTTTAGTTGTAGATTAGGTATTAGTTGAAATAGCTGAGTGACTGGAAGTATTTCCTAAATATTATCCAGGTCCTGGAGTTGTATCCTTTTTAATTTTATATAAATGAGAATAATTACATCTTAAAATATATATTCATCATCTTCTAAATAATTTCCTTAATTCTTTATAAGTCTATCTTTTTATTTATCATAGAAGATTTTCATAAATTGTTTTTGTTTTTCTTCTTTAGTTGAATCAAATAATCTTTAAGATTTAGATTGAAAATTTCCAGATGGATTAAGCTTATGTAAAGGTACAACTGATGCATTTGGATCATAAGTTCCAGGTCCAACCATTAATTCTTTTTCTTTTGAAATAGTTGGTGCTAATCTTGGAGCTTTAGATTTATGCCAAAAACTTCCTTTATATTTATTTTATTCAAATGCATCCTTTACATCATATTAACCTGGACCAACTGAATCTTATTTAAGACCAGTAAATGTTGGAAATGGAAATTTGTTAACTTCCAAATCATTAGCTAAAATTTCTTGAATAATTTTAATTACTTCCTTTTTCTGTATAACCATATATTTGATTCTATGATGGTATAGAGGGTATTGATTAATATTTATTCATTTTCATTAAAGTTTCGATATAATGTTAGGATGTATATTATTATTGTATAACTCTAGTTCCACAGTTATTTGCATCATATGCTCCAGGACTTTAATGCATTTAAGAATAATTTAATACCCAGGTGAAAGCATTGTTTTTGGATGATGAAATCGTTTACTCTAAGAAGCAAAAACAGATTAAGGTTAAGGTTTTTCGACTACTTTTACTGCTGATTAAGATGTTTATAAAACTATATTTTGCCTAATAAAAACAATTAAATGAAGTATTTTACCCTTAGACTTCATTTTGAAGATTATAACTTCCAGGACCAGGTGAATTATCTTATTTTATTGGTTGATTTCTTGTAACTTATGTATCGAATGGAGCATTCCCTTATTTTGTCTTCAATTATTCATGTGAAAGATAACTACCAGGACCTACCTATTTATTATAAATCAATTTTACATTTGGAGGGGCACCAGAAGGCTTATTTAACATGTTTCTTTCTGCTTAAAATACAAAAGCCATTTTATATTTAATATATTTATAAATTTTTTATACTATTTTTAAAAATGAAAACTGGAAAACAAATTCTAGGTGAAGATATTGAAAAGCTTTAATTAATCTAAAAGAAAATTAATGATTCTAACTTATGGAAAAACCCTAAAATTGAATCTAATCTTTAAGATATAAATAATAGAATTCAACTCATACTTTAAATTTTAGATAATGAAAACAAAACAGAACAATAATACTAATAAATGAGAAATAAAATTTTAAATGATAATCAAAAATAGGTTCTTGAAAATCTAGATTCAGATACACTTTATTCATATAATCTAGAATCGTTGAAAGGCAAACCTGTTTAAGATTAAAGATAATATAATTAGTAAGACATTACAATTAATGAATAACATGATTAAAATCCACCATAATCTTAATTTTCATAGCAATAAAATTATAATCAGAAGGAAAGTAATGAAAATGATAAAAATGGTTTTAAAACTAATTCTGTCTTTTTTAATTAAAACCAATAAATAATTGATGACTCATGTAACTCTTCTATTAAAAAATTTGACTAGCAAAAAATCTAATGTAGATAGGATTAAGAAAAATAAACAAATAAAGATAAAATGGAATTAGAATAAGTGGAAAATTCTAATAATAATAAAAAAATCAGCGATAAGATTTAAAATTAAAATAACCAAGTAAAAAGAAAATATGAATATAAAGTGGATAAGGAAATATACATAAAAATGAAAGATGACATGTATTAATTTAAAATGAATATTGTTGATCTACCTTTGAATTAAGAAGATGGTAGCATAAGCTAATGTCCAATTTGCTAAGAATAATGTTTTTCTGATAGTGATATCTAAGATAAATATGTTGTATCATTAAGTTGCTTTCATCAATACCATTATGTTTGTTTGTAACCTCTATTGAATAAAAATTTTGTAAAATGTCCAATTTGTAATTAAATATTTGGTTAATTGACAGGTGATTAGCCAAATGGAATTATGGAAATAAAAACAATAAGAAGAAATTGTGTAGGTTATAATTGTGATACTATTTAAATTACATATATATTTTAAAATGGAAAGAAAAATGGTAAATATTATTCAGGAACAACAAGATATGCTTATTTACCTAATAATGAGGAAGGTTAAAAAGTGTTAAAATTATTAAAAAAAGCATTTGATTAAAAGTTAATATTTACTATAGGGACATCATTAACAACAGGATAAGAAAACTGCGTAGTTTGGAATGGGATTCATCATAAAACAAGTTTAGATGGTGGTCCATAAAGATATGGGTATCCAGATCCTACATATTTTGATAGAGTGAGAGATGAGTTGAAATAGAAAGGTATTGTTTGAATTAAGAATTGAAATTAATAATAATAAATGTAAAATATTAATATATAATTTAATGAAACCAGCGTGTTATTTAAAAAAAGTTGGACCCTATAGTCTTATAAGAGAAATTGGTTCAGGTAATTAATTAATAGAATTTAGGATCTTTTGCAAGAGTATTTAGAGGGAAAATGGATGGTAGATAAGAAGATGTAGCAATAAAAATGATTTCTAAATAAAATGTAAGAAATGAGAGTATGTCAATGATTGAAAAAGAGATTGAAATATTGAGATAATTGGATCATCCAAACATTATAAAATTGATAGATTTTAAGAGGACATAGAATCATTATTATTTGGTTTTTGAATATTGTGAGAATGGAGATTTAGATGCATATATAAGGTATTAGATTATTTTTAAATAAAAATTAGGAAATATTCTCCTAATGGTATATTACCAGAAGAAGAAGTAAGAAGGATAGTATAATAATTGGCATTGGCATTACAATAAATGTATAAGTTAAGAATAGTACACAGAGATTTAAAATTGGCAAACATTCTAGTATCAAAGAATTTTTAAGTATAATAGTTATTAAAATAGTTTAGATAAAATTGGCAGATTTTGGATTTGCAAAGTATATGGAAGATGATTAATATTTAACATCTTATTGTGGTACTCCATTGACAATGGCTCCAGAGATTCTATAAAGAAAGTAATATAATGAGAAATGTGATGTGTGGTCAGTTGGTGTAATTATTTATTAAATGATATATGGTAAATCTCCTTTTATTCCACCTAAAGGAGGTAATATTAATGATTTAATTGCTATAATCAATAAAGGAGATTTACAATTTCCTGATTTATTAATTACTACAAAATTGAAAGAATTACTGTTATAAATGTTACAATAGGATTTTAAAAAAAGAATTAGTTTTAGAGATTTCTTTGAACATAGTTGGTTGTAAGGAGAAGTTAAAGCAGACTATATATAAAGCATTAAATAAGATATTTAAGAAAATCTTACTGAAGTAACACCAGTTACTCATCATAAAGTTAGTGAAGATATTTAGGATGAAGAAATCTTTAATGATAAAGATGATAGTACAAATGAAGTTTTTAAAGATTTATAATTAAAATATATTGGTTATCAATTACAAAAGTAGGCATTGTCCTATTTAGATTTGATGTTTGAAGAAATAAATAAAATCAAATCATTATGCGATAAACTTTAGAATTATAAAGTTAATTTTTAGTTTCTTCAAAATCGTTTATTGAGTTTATCTTTGGCTATTAGAATATATGAGGCATTTCTAATTAAGTAGGTCAATGAATTTATGAAAGAATAAATTGTAGTATTGCATACTTCATCTAGCAATAGTTCTTTGATCAGTCTTTAGATGAAAAGACCATTTGTTGCTCATTAAATTACAATGTAGAAAGAAATCATTGAAATTAAAAATTATTTCAAAGATAATTAAATGATAATGAATCAATTTGAATAATGTGGTTATTGCATAGCTGATAACATCTTTGATGAAATTCTAGAATTGTTAATGAATTTAATAGAACATTAATAATACATTGATTAAGATATCTTTACTTAATTGATTTAGTTGTTATATTCATTTAATTATTCATAACCTTAATTACTTTAAGTTGAATTGTACATGAAATTGTAAACAGGAAATGATATGAATTATTATTGGCACTTATTCAAATTAGTTAGAGTTAATCAAAAACACATTGCAGATTCAATTGAAAATTAAATAGTCTGTGAGAACAATGATCTAGATAAAAAATTATAATTTGAATGGAGATTAGTAAAAGATGATTCTGAAGAAGCTTAAGTATCATTTACTAAGGAAGAGATTGATAAATTATAAGACTTACTAAAAGAAGAATATACCAAAAGGGATATACGTTAATAAATATAATGATAATTAAAATTAAATGGAGTACTTAACTAATGAAAAACTCCTTAAATAATAACAATCAGCTCTATTTTCTATCAACAACTCTCGTTCCAATAGTGTATCTCGATTTCCAATTCCTAGTTCAAGAGCAACTCATGATCCTGTCTAACCACTTAGATCAGCCGATTTATTCAACAGATTAGAAGACATTTTAAAATAAAAGTAGATGAGTACTACTACAAGAAAGAGATAAAAATAAATATCATGCATTTTAAATTCATAAGCTACTCATGAAGCAAAAAAACATTATATTGAAAATAGTTGTTACAAATCACCCAATAGAATATAGGAAGTACCATCCACATCTGGGTTTTTGAATGTTGTATGTTTCATCTTTATCATCTCTTTAGTATAATGTTGAAGCTAGAAGTAGAAAACAAACTTAACCTACTTATATAGGTTCTCCTTTAATTAATCAATAAAATTAAAGTGCCAAAAAAAAAAATGTCATTCAAACCTAATTTTAAGATAGTTATCTTTAGAATAAGAAAAAGAAAGAGAGCTTAAAAAAATTTTAAGATGAATTTAACAATATGTAGGAAAAAATCAAAATTAGAAATCATGTATGTAATTATAATTTATATTCAACAGTCTATATTTAATTAATTAGAATAGCCAGATAAAAAATTTGAAAAAATAGAAAAATAAGAATTGTAAGAAAACAAATTTGAAATCAATATTAGCACAATTTTTAATAAAGAAAATCATAATAATACTGTTAACAAATTGAATCAACAATTACAATTGCAAAATAATCATCTTTAAGAGTAATTGCTATTTGAATAGAATCAAAATTCCAAATTAAATTTACTTATTAATAATTTGAATGATTAAATTGCCAGTCTCAATAAGTATTATTTATTTTAAGTTTATTTCTAGGTAACTAAATTAGCAAAACCTATAATTTTAGGAAGAATAAGCTGTTAGGGATACATAAATTTTATCTTTAAAATAATAGTTATAACAAATGGATACAAATATCAAAGAAAAAGATAACGAGATCAATAATTGTAAACAATAAATATAAGAATTCAATAATGTATATAAAGATATGCAAGAATTAGAGAATCTCTGTTAACAAATGTCATATTTAAGTATGCAAACTTGTTAATAAAATTAACTAATTCTTGATATTAGAGAGTTATTACAAATATAATTTAATATAATTGAGAAAGTAACGAATCATAAAGATTTTCCGATAGAATAGCTGCTAATTTAGAAAAAAAAGAAAAAACCATAAAATTTGAAAGAAATTGATTACTAAGAATTAAGCCAAGAAACAACAAGAATTATGGAAAATTTAGTTAAATTAATAAAAGCATCTGTTGATTAGTTAACCGAAAGATTTATTCATGATTTACTTATTTGAAATATAAAATAATATAATCAATAAATTAAAGATGGGAAATGTATTTTGCTATGAAAGAGTATATATATATAAATGAAAAAGGAGGAAGAAAATGTTCATTGGAAATAACAACTCGAAAATACTTGTTAAGGGATGAAAAAAGAAATGTGTTGGGCTGAACCTATTTTAATTTAGCTAAAAGACCTGAGGGTTTCGAATAAGTATTAGAAATAACTACATACATTTGCTTAGAGTTATTCTGAATCATCAATTACAGAGATTTAAAATTCATTAAGATCCAGATAATCTACAAGAGACCAAAGAAATATCTAAACAATTATTAAGAGAACAGGTTTTACAGAAGAAGATCTAGTTGAAAATTTTATCAAACCAAATAGAGCATCTATTAATTTAAGTATTCAATCAATTACACCATCTTATATTTATCATGAGAAAACATCAAATGTTGGAATGGGAGGATCTTAAGTTAATTTTGAAGATTAAATGTGTTTTTTTGTTTAAATCACAGATAAAATTAAAGAACATTTTGATTAACCAAATGAATTAGGAATAATGATTATTCATTTTAGACACTCACTAAATTAATAACATAAGGATAGTACATTTAAATAATTACATGAATAATTAACATTGTTTTGTAGAACTCTATATGAAACAATAGTCATATATTATGATATGATTAATTTAAAAAAGAAGTATCAAAATCATGCAATTCTATTAAACGAAGAAACAATGCTAAATTTTATTGTTAATTATGTAATGTCAAATGAAGGAATATATAGAGTAATTTACAATTCATTATTGAAACAATTAGCTTAAATTTAAAAATAGACTGAAGAATATTTTAAGCAAAATAAAGAAATAAGAGTAGAAGATTTGGATATTCCAAAAGACTTTTAATTAAAAGAATCATAAAATCCTTATGGTTAAGCAATTTAAACACTCTAAAAATTGAATAAAAAGCTTGGGCCATCATCAAAGGTAAAAGTGATAATAAATTTTTCATAACAAATTTAATAGCAAGTTAGAGAAGCAAATTAGAATAGAGGTTCTAGTTTACTTATGCAAGCTGATGATCTTTTACCAATTATCAAATACATTTTAATAAAATCTTAAATATATGATATAGATGTTCATCTTACTTATATTGAAAAGCTGATAACAAATGGAATGTTAAACTCAACAAGTGGATACTATGTAGTGACTTTATAGGCAGCTTTGGCTTCTTTGAGAAATAATTTAAATAAATAATAATTTAATTAATAAAAATGAATATTGTATAATAATATCGAGCAATAATTTATGATCTTTTCAATGTAATTTAAGAATAACAAAACCCTAATTTAGATAATGATGTCAAAAAGATTAAAGAAAGATTTCATAATTTGGAATTATAAAATCGCTAGAGAAAAATGATATAAAATTAGAAACTAACTAGATTATATTCTATTCCTTAGAAACCAAAAATAATGCAAAATAATGAAATCAGAGCTTAATCAACAGCATATCATTAAAGATTTATATCATTGCATACTTGATTATAATAATTATGTAATAAACTTATAATCCAGATGAGAGAATTACAATTGAATTATTTTTAGCTGCAAGATAATTACCTAATCTTGAATTCTTTTCAAAAAGTGATCCATATTTGGAACTATATTATACGTTAGTTGGTGAAACAGAAATATTCTTAGGTAGAACAGAAACTGCAGAATGCAATTTAGATCCTAATTGGGAAAAGACTTTTGATCTTGAATATTAACCAGATCTAACATAAATATTAAGATTTTAAATATTTGATTAAGATAGAATGGGCAGAGAATTCATGGGTGAAGCTTAAACAACTGTTAAAGAAATATTGTAATAAAAAAATTCACTAATTTCTTTATAAATCAAGAAATTTGACAAAGCAGCAGGATAGTTGATTTGTAAAGCATAATAATTCAAATAATCTAATTATTATGTTTAATGGCAATTTTCTGGAATTAATATTAAGAATATGGATGGAATATTTGGTAAGACAGATCCTTTTTTAAAACTTTATTTATTTTCAGAAGGAGTATGGTGTTAAATATATTAAACAGAATATATAAAAAATGATCTAAATCCTAAATGGAAAGAATTTCAAGTTTCTCTTTAAAGATTATGTTTAAATGATGAAAATAAAAAGTTTAAAGTTGAATGTATTGATAGACATGAAAAAGGCATAAACAATCGTATAGTTGGTTCATTTGAAACTACAATTGATGAAATTTTTACTAAAAATGTTGATTCATTTTAATTAATTTAACAAAAAGGAGAATCAGCAGGAACAATTAAAATACTCAATAAAAAAAGAATATATAAAGCTAATTTTGATGACTATATTAAATAGGGCCTTAAATTTAACATAATAATAGGAATTGATTATTCATCTCATAATGGTGTTCCCCAATTTCCTGATTCCTTGCATACCTTAATTGAAAATAACAATATTTATCAAAAAGCACTAAATGATATTTCTAAAGCTTTAGAAAACTATGATATTAAAAAATTGTTAGCACTTTATGGAATAGGAGCTGAGCCCCATTTTTCTAATTACTATAAAAATAGTTATTAAACACTCTTTCCATTAACAGGAGATATCTAAAATCCATAAGTTATAGGTTATTAATAAGCAGTTAACTTATATTAGAAAAGACTACCTGAAATTATTGTCAAAGGAGACCTCAAGCTTTTAGATTTTCTTAAGTACATTTAAACTGTGGCTGAATATAATGCAGAAAAGTTAATCTATACAATTACCGTTGTTTTAGGCTAAGAATAAATAACTGATTTAAAAGAAGTTTAAAATCTAATTTTACAAGGTATTTTATTTTATTCTAACTTAGGTTATAAATTACCTTACTCTTTAATATATGTTGGAGTTGGATAAGAATAATTTAAAGATATTAGATTGATCAATGATTTAATTAATTCATAAAAGCCACCAATTAGAAATAATTTTAGTTTTTATTAATATCAAGAGGATTTAGATTTAAGTTTACTTAAAAAACATTTAATGAAAGATTTACCAAATTAAGTTGTTACATACCATTAATAATTAAATTTGTAAGTATGAAATACATTTTATAATATATTAAATAATAATATCATTCTTTTAGACCAGCTCTTTTTTCTTTTTTTGCTTTTAATCTGGCTATCTTTTCATCCATAAAAATAAATAAGGTAAATAACAGATACAACATATTCAGAAAATGTTATACCAATATAAAAATAAGAATAGAATTTTTGTTTCAAATAAAATTGATGCAATAATATATTTATATATAATTTCTTTAATGTTTTTCACTGGATGATATCTTTATCTTGTGTCTACTACCATAATATAAATAAATCATGATTTGTCTTAGTTTTAATGATGGATTGTTCAAAGGCTGTTCCAATGAATTTAGAATTTTAAGTAGACTTACTAATACACAATATTTCCGTGAAAGTTATTTAATTTTATTAATTAACTTTACTTTCTAAAACTTCTTTATTTTCTTTATTGTCCATTTCATCTTAAGACTAATTGGCCCTGAAAATTTCTTCATTATTTTCTTTTAATCCTTCTTAAATGATCTATGTTTAATCGTAACTTCTCTTAAATATTCTTATTGTTTCCTCATTCAGAAACGATATTACATCTTCAGTCTCTTTTAATAAAACTTCTATATTTTATCTCTCTTACTGTATTTCATCTTTTTAAGTTTTCTAAGCTCTTAATGTTGAACTCATATCCACTCTTTTTAATTCTAATAAACGATGATAATTCTCTTCTATTTTTTTAAATAATAACTAGTTTCTACTATAGGTATTTTTAATAGAAAATCCATCCTCCACAATTTCTAAAAGTTTACGGCAGTTTGTATGAATTTCCTCTAAATATTTCAAGTTTTTGAAAGATTCTTCATATTTTTTTTTTTGTAATAATATTTTATTGTTCAATTCATTAATGTTTTAAGAAATAATCTCATTTTCATCTAAATTCTACATTTGCCATATTTTTAAACATTTGTCTGAAGAACTTGAAACTATAAATTTATTATCTTAAGATAAACAAATACGATTAATTTTATGTTAATGGCAATTATTTTTATTTCCTTATTTTTTTTTTAATAAATCCATAATTTTAATTGAATGATCTTCAAATGCCATTAATAAAATAAATGCATTCCTATCAAAATGCATAGAAGTAATTACTCCTTAATAAGAGGTGGTTTAATAAATCTATGATAAATCTTTAGTATCTAGAATATAAATATTAGAGTCTTTGCTTGCGATTGCCAAGTATGAATAATCAGATTTAATTGCAAAACATACTAAATCAGAACTGTCTTTCAAAATTGATGAATTAATCCTTTTGCTTTCTTAATCTTCGTCCTTTAATTCAAATTGAAAAGATGAAGAATTTGTGTTACTGGAACCAATTTTAAAATTTATATATTTTCCATTTTTATCTAATGCTACAAGATTTTAATCTAGACTAAAGAAAACAGTTAAAATTTAATAATCTAGATTAATTTTTTTTCTAAATTATCTTCCATTAGGACAATCCCAAATTTTAATTTCTCCTCCTTAAGTACTTGAACATATTAAATTATTTTTTTAAGAATATGCTAAAAATTCTACCTCTCCTTTAGGTTTTAGATATGAATTTATATGATTAATTGTTTTGCCTGTAAAACAATCAAAAACTTAAATTTAATGTCCAAATCCACCTGTAATTATATATTGATCATCATCAACGATTAAGATTGGACTTAATGAACATGCAGAACATAATTTAGAAATAGAACATTCTTAACAAGACTGTAATTATATTTTTTCATTAACAACAGATCCTGTTTTAATATTCCATTAAATTATTTTTTTATCTTTGCCCTTTGTGATTACTCTTTCAGAATCTGAAGAGATTACTATAAATAAAATATTTCCTTCATGACCTGGCAGATATTCACTAATACGATAATTATCACTATGATGCCATTATTTTATTAATCCATCCTCTCCAGCAGATAATATAATCATTCCATCTGGTTTAGAAAACTCAACACTATTGATAACATTATTATGACCATGCAAATTCTCTCCTATTTAAACACCTTTCATAAAATCCCATACTCTAATACATTTGTCATCTCCTCCACTTATCAAGACATTTCCATCATTAGAAAAACATAAACTTCTTACAGCTTTTTAGTGTCCAATTAATTTTATTTACTCTTTTTATTTTAGTAAACTATATATAATGATCCCTTCACTAATTGTAGCATACGCAAACTATTAACCATCTGGAGTAAAAACTATGCTTGTAACTTATTATTAACTTTGTAAATTTCTAATAATTTTTTATTAGCCATCTAAAATTTTATATTAAAATATTGAATTTTCATCACATACTATTAATTAATCTTCTTCTGGAGAAAAGTCAAATGCTGTTATTCTAACTTTACAAATTATCTCTCTAAATTAAGTAAATGAAGAATTTACAAATTTATAAATAACTACTTTTCCTTTTTAACACCCAATTGCTAAATAACTATCTTGATTTGAAAATTTTATCAATTCAACAATGTCTCCTATTTTTAGTTCTTATTCCTTCTGTTTAGCTTATTATAATTCATCATTAAAATATAAAATATTTATTATTTCCTATTTAGTACAATAAACAAGCAATGATTTAGTGTTAGACCAACAAAAATCAAATATATTATTTTTGCAATCAATCTCTTTTATTATTTAACCATTTGTTAATAAATAAACCACTAATTTTGTATGACTAAGGGATGCAATGAAACTACCATCAATAGAAAATGAAGCTTTCATAATAGGACCTATTTTAAAAGACAATGTTGGCAAATCTTATGATATTATGTTCTTCCACTCCACTTTTGCAATTTTACAATAATTTAAATTTGTCCCCATCAAAGTCACATTCTCAAATTTTGAGCTAGTAAAATTGCAGCCAATACACTTTATTCCTAATAATTTAACATTCCTTATTTCAATATTGGTGAAATCTTTTTGATAGAATAACTCCTACATATAGGCTAGTAATTAAAATGAATTAGAACTTATATTTATAAATTATGGTGATTATGAAGATAGTAATACTAAAAAATGTAAGACAGATTTTAACTCCAAATCATTCTAGATATATTCAACTAAAAATCTAATAGCTCCCATATAAAATTGATTTGCCATAATTATGGAACTTAATGGTGAAGATTCAATATTGAATAGCAAATCATTTACTAATGAAAAATAATCCTAACAGCTATTATTTTGATAAATTTCATTTAAATGCAAATGAAATGTATTAGGTTATTCGATAGTATTCTAAAATATTGATATGCAATCGAAAATGAATTTCTTTATTTTTATTTGACTACCTTGTGAATCTGTAATATCTAATTTACTTTCTTTAAATTTATTTAGGAAAAATCTTATTATCATGAGATTTTCAATAATGGATTTGGCATAAATGAATTCTTAAATAGATTTATGCTCAAAACTCAAAATAGTTCCAGTTTATTTAAGAGGAAGACATTTTTTCGCTAAATTTAATTCCTCAGAACTTTCATTAAACAATTCTGCAAATCTTGGGTCTATAATGTTTTATTTTATTTTTTATTCACCAAACATACCTGTTTTGTTGAGTAATTTCTAACTGTCAAAAGCAGTTAATTATTATTCCATCATGTATGAAGATAATAATATCGCATAAAAATTAACTTAATATATGAAATTATGAATGAACTTTTGTTGATGAAGTGTAGACAATTTTTACATTTAGTTTTAGATGTAATTTTCCAAAAATTAAAAATAAAATTCATACTAGGTTAATTTAAAAGATTTAAAACATTTTAAAATTATCTATTTATCATCTCCAAATTAATCATAATCTAATTAAGAAGATTATTAAAGCTTTTACCAAATTAATTTTGCATATTCTTTTAGATTATCTTATATTTTAATTTATAAACTCTACTTTAATTTAAGTTCTTATAAAAATCTCAAGTTTGCTGATTTCTCATTTCTATATTTTTATGGCATACTAGGAGTGACATAAGTAGCGACTGGTTATTGATAATACACATCAGGAGAAGCAGACTATTTGTAATTGATAACATTATTAACAGGCATAGCCATTGATTATGGCTGTTAAACATAACTATTTTAATTGACAACATTTGAACTTCTCTGCTAATTAGATTCTACTCTAGTTTGTTAATTAAAAGAAGATGGTTTCATTTATTGCATCTCTTAGTAATTATTTTAGTATATATACTAGTTTCTTGAATTTTTATTATCAAGATTATATTTAGAGGAGGATATATCTTATCTAATTTATTAATATTAATTTTGTGGAATTGATGTTGCAGCAATCTTTTGTGATAATGGATCTGGCTGCTAAACATATACTACCTTTTGATAAGAGGGTGATTGTTAATATTAGACCTTTTATTATTGATAATAATTTTAAGGGATTTGTTAAGATGATATTCTTTGTTATTATCGTACTTCTTTAAACTACATTTCTTTTTCATATTGCTTTTATTATTATTATTATGGATATTATTATTATGGATATTATTAAGAAACTCTATCTAATTCCACAGACAAATCCTATTCTAAATCTTCAGGTTATTCAGGAATTTCTGATTAGTTTTTATATTCATTTGCTTAATCTTCCTTATATTATTAATGCGAAATCCTTTCATAAAATTATCGAAGTGCTTTGATATCTTTTTATTTAACATATTTTTTGTACATTTAAAGAGCATAATTAGAAATAAAATAGCTTTGCTGAATCTCTTGTTTCTAGGAATTGATTTAAGGAAGTACATCAAGAACAATTTTCATCATAAACGGGGTCTTGAGAATTTACTCCAAATTGAAATTATATATATTATTATTGTAAAATAATGGAGTGAAGATATGTTTAAGTGATCTCTCTAACATCGCAAATTGATCTTATTTATTTTACAATTTGAATTCACTTTTTAGAGTTGAAATTATCATATTAATTTCCTTATCACTTAAATATTAATCATTTGATTATTAGTTATTCAA